TAATAATTAACGGCAATAAACCCTTCTGCGCGGAACCGTCATCGTCGCTGTTAGTCGAGAGTTTTCTCACACCAGCGTAAGTGTACTATTCAAATTGTTTTTTTTTCTTTACGATACATATTTCAATTACGCTGTAACTGATATCGCATCCTACTTTATTTCAGCGATTTCTTTTATGTGAGAAATCACTTGCCCGTTCCTGAGATAGATTTGAAGGATTACACGCTAGAATTGGCGATAGAAGGAACGACCAAAAAGACGCTTGACTTCAAGGCAATAACGAAGTATAAAAAGCACACGATAACAGCGGCCGTAATGTGCGGCGGAAACAGGCGTTCAGACATGTCAAAGGTAGATCTGTACAAAAATTAAGGAATTATTGCTCAAATTACTGAAACTAATAGCAGGTACATGACGCTTAATTTGCTTACAGGTAAAAACACTGAAAGGTATTAACTGGAACGTGGGTGCTGTTGGAAATGCAACATGGACAGGTGCACGATTGTGCGACGTATTGAAAGATTTAGGAATTAATGAAGATGCATTTAATCATGTTCAGGTATTTTCTTAATTTACCATTTGCATTGGAAAAGCATTGAAAAAAAGTATTGATTATTTTATCAGTTTGAGGGATACGATCTGGATCCATCTGGTATGCCGTATGGGGCAAGCATTCCTATCTCTAAAGCAATGGATCCGAGAGCGGACGTGATCCTGGCTTATGAAATGAACGGCAAACCATTGAGCAGAGATCACGGATTCCCGATTAGAGTGATTGTACCTGGTGTCGTTGGGGCGAGAAACGTGAAATGGCTGAGTATGGAAAATTCTCAAGCTCCCGATTGCATAATTATTGAATTTGTACTTATATTAAGCTATATTTGTCAGGCAAAATTAGCGTGTCGAAGGAAGAGAGTCAGTCGCAGTGGCAACAGGGCGACTACAAAGGATTCTCCCCAAGCACAGATTGGGACAATGTGGACTTCAGGAAATCGCCCGCGATACAAGAAATGCCTGTAATATCGGCCATTTGTCAGCCGCAAAATTCAGATGTGGTCAAAGTCAACGAGAATGGCAAAATCCAAGTGAAAGGTAAAAGCGAAAATGGAATAGTCGCATGAAGCTGAATTACGCAAATTGGTCTCATTATTTTTATTACGAGCATTGCTTCCTAAATTTCTTAAATGTTTGTAAAATATAATTACTACTTTGTCAGGTTACGCATGGTCCGGTGGTGGCCACAAGGTAATCCGTATTGACGTCACAAATGATAAAGGTGAGAAAGACGAGAAAATGAGGCTGAAATTAGCCTGATTATTTTGCTCTCTTTAACGATCTCTTACCATCAACTTTCTCGCGCTTTTTAATTATAAAGGTAAGACTTGGCACACAGCGGATTTGACGGAAGATCTTCAGGCCAAGCAAGGTCGATACTGGAGTTGGACATTGTGGAACGTGGAACTTCCTGTGGACAAGAATTCGAAAGAGGTTGAAATCTGGGCGAAAGCGGTCGACTCGGCATATAACGTCCAACCGGAAAGCTTCAATAACATCTATAATTTAAGAGGATTGCTCTGCAACGCGTATCACAAAATAAAAATTCAATTGAAGCAATGAACGAATTTGTTTTCCATTGATCATTGGCATATTGTCTATTTTAAGTCTTGCAAGTCAAGAATTTGGTACTCTCTCTCTACAAAAAAAATTTGTGATATACGAAAGGAGAAAATTATGCTTATTATCTTTCTTTTCTCTTCTCTTTCTCTAAACGATAAAGATGTGGTAATTTAAGGTAGAAATCATTATACATTTTAATGAATTGATATGCAATTATTATATATATAATTTTGTAAGAAAAATCGATGCAATAATACTCGTGAAATCACGAAGCTT